GGTCATTACCTTAAAACTTCAGCCTCCTAGACTCTGTGGTTCCCGAGATATTAACTTACCCGTGAAAATCATAGCACACCTTTATTTTACGAAGTTTCAGCTGTTTAAATGAAGCATTGACGCTAAATGTGCGTTACAGGTGAATCAGTTTTGCTAAGCAGGACTGACATTATCGGAAGGAACTCAAGTTAGCTTATAAGTTCCGATTTATGGAACCCCATGAGACGTTTGCGTGATGCAGACAATAAGACGATGCTAAAACCTGTATTTTTCTTTTAACCGCCTTGTTCAAACCACGGTTACATTCAGCATATCGCCATACTTTTTAAAATGTCACTATCATTAAAGCGTATAAACGAAAATGTAATTTATTAAGAGACTGACAAGCTGTCATCCGAGTGCAGCTTCCCTACTAATAACGTTTGCATTATTGCTATCTTCATATGCAGCGTTGTGAAAAAACAGTTTGTTTTCTGCAGTCTCTCTGCCATTTGCCGCTAACCATTCCCCAGAACCTCTTGAAGGCAAATGTGCCTAAATCTGTCGTCCAAATCGAGAAAAAAACTTGCAAAAAGTGATTTGCTAGTTTGTTTTGCAATTTTTTTTTCCAATAATCTAATAGGAAAGCAAGGCGTGCTTGCTTAGCAATTGTATAATGTGAGGGGAAATTTAAAACAACTGTCTTGTAGGAATCTGTTTTGTGACTGATGTTACTGAGCGTGAGCTTGATCCTGAGCCTGAGCTTCGTCTCAGTTATAGCGAGGGATTCAACCACTTTTCGCAAATGCTTACCACTTGCCGCATTGCTGTTATGACGCACGAATTTTGGTGTTCATTGATGAACTGACCGAATCAGCTTATATTATTTTTGCTACCTTTTTCTTCCAGTACCACAACTCACTGCTCGTAGCTCCCATGCCACTGATTTAAGGGTATTTAAGGGTGATTGTATCGGGATATGCCAGGCGCTAATAGCCTTGAATTACTTGTTTCCAGACATTGCCTTCCGTCCGTTCCCTCACAAATCACTGAAAATCACCCGACTGGTCTGCTTTCGGTGGCACCGTGCACCGAATGTCAGAAAAGCAAGCATCTTATCGGATTTTGCAGGCCGGATGCCTAGGCATCTTCGGATGAGAAGTTTGCATTGCTTATGTGTTCGCGAAAATGCACAGCAAGAGCATTCTTTGCTTCGGTTATCATTGAATCTTGTTTTGTTCGTTCCTTTCTGTTTAGCTGCTCCGCCACAGTACGATAATTTTGCTTGTTTCCCGCACCACAATTTTTAGTCGATTGCATTCAGGAACTGAGACGCTTTCTGGACAAGGATGGTGCTGGCGGCGGGGCTGCCAGATGAAAATCGCACGTTATTTTTAGCCTCATATTACATTTCCTGTTCCAAGAGCATAAAGATACGAAACGATTGCGGTGGTTTCTTTCTTGACATATATGTGCTATTGTTTCTTTGTACTGGTTGATTCGAAAGAAGACCATTGTTTTTGAGGGATTGTTGTTTCCTTGCTGATACGCGTGTTGTTGCAGGTGGATTCACAATAAACTGCAGCTAGAACTCAGTGATCTCACCATGCGCAGTGCAGTCGGTCGTCTTATGCAAGTAAGAGACTGATCAGCAATAAATTTTAGTCCTGTGTAGCGTTTTCGACATTGATTTTTGTGACGATGAGCAATCCAAGACTGGCATTACTCCGTATCTACCTCGTACATATAACTGCTTTCAAAGCATCACAAAATGCCTTCGACCGACCAAAACAGCAAGACGCAAGGCCGCCTTAGGCCAATTTTCATTGTTTCTTTTCTCTACAGTGCTCTCATTTTCAGCATATTCGTATTCGGGAATTATCAGTAGGCTCCAAATCTCCGGTGATTAACGCGGTGCGTGTAGAAAGTTTTCAGATGTTTGAAGATGGAGAAGGTTTTAAAGTGAGTTGAAACCTTTATTTCCGAAAATTTTTATAAAAAAAAAATATTTTTTAGACACGAGATGAATTTCATTTTCCTTCTTATGTAGCTCTTAATTTTTTAACATAATGAAGTTGACATGTTCAGTACTCATACCAAACGTATCAAAGAAATTCCGAGTGGTTCTTTTTTCACTCGCTGAAATATAACACGCTTTTTTCCAGTCGTTAATTGGTTTTTCAGACACTGAATTTGTTAGCGGATGTTGATTACAGTGGTGGTTTTCAAAATTCCGTTGATGTGAGAATGCTTTTTGAACGATTTGCGCAACTTTCAATCAAGGTTTCCTACTGAATCATTTTCGTTCATACGTAACGTAGTGCAAACCCATTAGTCAGCGGCCTTAACAGAGAGAGGTAAAACAAAATTGTAAAGCCTTTTCACACACTGTAGATAATAACTAGTCTAACAGCGAAAGAGGCAGAAGGATAAGTCGTTGTACGAAATGCAACAAGGTAACTTTTATTTCACTTTCTGGCGCTAAAACAAGGAGCAG